CACTACATTGCTTCCTTCTTGCCCTCCTCACACCCATCTCTGTCTCAAGATCACCTTAAAAAACACCCCACACACCCAAAGGTCTATATGCATTACATTACTTGTTTTGATGTGAATGAGATGTTGACAAGTTTGCCATCATACAACATGTCTAAAATATGGTCTCATTCCCTCAACAGCAGTTCAAATAAAGATATCCTGCCAGGGTCCCTCAATGAAATGACCTCCTGTATGAAAATAAGGTACATCATTCCTCAGACATCAAATTATAAAATCACAAACAATTTGGTGGAGCAACAGAACACCTGGGTATTTAGGGGAGAGCTGGCCAAAGATTCAGGAAATCTGTAGACAGATCTCCCACATGATCACTAGTTTTTTTTCCCTCTACAAGGCATGTACATTTTGACTCTTATGTTGTATTTTTGTGTTTTGAATTTGAGTGTAATGTTGAATGCAATTCTCTCTTTTTATTATTAATATAGGTATTGGATTTAAATGTGTTAGTACCGGTTAAGTTAGATTTCATTATATTCTGAAGTTATTGTCTCTAGTAGATTACATCAAGTCCTTGTTAACACAAGTCTGCAACCAGGTTAGTACAGGCTAAAATCCAGGTTCTGGTGGGGCATACCAACTGAGATTTTAGAGTGCAGGCTAACAACTTGACTATGTTAAGTGTACAGGCTTGATAGGAAATTTCTGTTTAGGACAACATAAAAAGTTGATCAACCAAGTCTAAATAGGATGAAGTCTAAACCTCTGATTACTGTAATCTAGTTAATGTGTACATGGGAAACTATGGAATTATATAAAGCCAATTTTACTCATTGGTCTAACTCTAGATTTTAGTGGTCAGGACCTCTGGCATTAAATAATATTACTACAACCAAGTGTTACTATCTAAGTGGACTAAAGGTACTTTTTAGAAAAGAGCAAGCATGGGCAGCCATCTAAATAGTATTAGTTAATTACATCTGGATAATGACCAAGACTGGAATGTTTGACAGATCTGTGTACACGGCCGGCACAAGACTCTGAGCGACGTGGAATCCGAATGAACGGGCACACAATTTAAAATATAGAATAAATAATAAGTTATCAAATGTTAACAAGGTCAAAAGTATAAAATACAAATAACCAGGAAACAAATTCCAAGAGGTTTGGTGCAATGTCTTAATGACCAAAAATTTTGGCAGTAAGCTTCTGGCACACGCTCATATGCACAGAGAACCATAGCCTTAACAGGGTCTTACTCTAAACTCTGTTCTAATGTAAAGACAGAACACTCTTCTTGGGCTTTACCAGAGTTTACACTGCAATAACATCCATAAGCTTTTTGGCCAACATTACATTGTGGTTATTCTCTTGAATACAGCAAAATAAGCATCTACTTTGTCTTATCAAAATACAGGCAATAGCCCAATATGTCAGCTAACATCAAAGGCAGGTGGACTCACCCATGAGGACATCACTAGAACAGGCTGGGGTGCTCGGCATCAATGGGACATGGGGAGGTTGCTCTTGGAGAGCTAAACTTCCGTGGCAGCAGCACTGGTTTCCACCGCTGAGCTGCCAGGTCGAGCCTTCTCCCATCAGCATCCAGATCCCACTCCCAAACAGTAGCTGCGTCTGGTACTCTTGCTTCTTAAATCATGAACTCAAGCTTTTTTAATGATAGTTACCAACCAGGGTTCACCTCACTAGCTCGAGACTGATCAAGACCTGCATCAACCTCCACTGAGAAGCAGATCATCCTTCCTGCACCCCTCAAAATCCTCTAGCATAGGACACAACTTAAACATAACTAAATCAAATGCCATAAATCACAAAAAGCACAATACACCAACACAACCTGACTCACCAAAAATAAAGAATCAATCCCAGATGAGCCTCCAAATCTGATACAGTACAGTCTAGGTTAGGCCACAGAGTAACCAGATTGCAGTTCAAAGGGAAAGACCTTCAAATGAGGGACACCAGGAACAGACAAAACAGATTTCAATGAAGTTGTGGTATATTAACAAATGACCAAGTGTAAATAACACCAGGCATATCTTCAGGGTGGGCCAAGGCCAAAATGATAAACAAAAGAACTCTTGGTTGAGAGAACTTTTTATTACCTTAAAGAAAAACAAAAATACAAGTGTAGTACCCTAACTGCTTAATCCAAAAACAGAAATAGGATCTCACTCCAAAAAGAAATAGCAGCCACAGGAACAGGAACAACCAAACACACAGTCAGAAGCAGAACAGCAGTCAGAACAAAGAATACTATAGCCTCAAGGGCAAGAAACACAATCTCCAAACACCAACTCACAGGTAACCACCTCCAATATCCTCCCTCTCATTGCCCCTCTTCCTCTTTAATATCGCCTTTTAGTGATGTCATCGTGGGAGGTGGGAGCAAGCAGGCTTGGGCAGGCTGGAAACTCTGGGAGGGAGTTTGGACCTGCACACAAATATAGCACAATACACACAAAACAAGATTTCCCAACCCTGTCCAGGGTGTACCCCACCTTGTGCCCGATGATTCCTGGGATTGGCTCCAGGTTCCCTGCAACCCTGAGAAGGAGTAAGCGGTAGAAGATGGATTGATGGATGGACAAGATTTCCCATCCCAAAGATTGTTTGTAACAATAAATGGTAAATGGTAAATGTTAAATGTGCACTTATATACTTTATAGACTTTAGTATTTTTTAGTATTTAATTTTATTTGTAATTTGGATTTGTAGATGCCTGTATTTATTTGTTTGGATTTAGTTGGTTTTATTAATCGTGCAGTTCTTTAGACCTTTATATTAACCCCAAGCACATCAGATGCCCTTCTGAGCTGCAAGGAAAAAAACCTAGCAGATTGCTCATCGATGCATCACCACCTGTGTCATGCTTGCAACATATTTGGCCTCAAAACTAGCAAAAAACACCAATGTCATGGCCTAGGATGTTGACACTGATCCGATCATCACCACTGATTGCCACACTTTCGACGTTATCAACAACTTCACCTACTTGGGGTCCGCCATTTCCAAATATTGGACACTAAGGTAACCAGCAGTATTGCCAATGCCAATGCTAAGATAACCAGCAGTATTGCCAATGCTGCAGCTGTTATTACAAGTATGGTCAAGAGAATGTGAATCAATGAACAGCTCACAGAGATCAACAAGCTACATGTCAACCAGGTCTGCATCCTCAGCACATTCTTCTACAGCAGAAAGGCCTGGTCAATCTACATCAGACACAAGAAGAGGCTGAACAGCTTCCAGGACTGCGTGACCAACTCTGGGGTCCTCCAGTGTGCAAACATCCCCAGCATGTTCGCCAGTGCACAGAGAGTGCAACTGATGTGATTTTCCAGGTATCACTGGAGCAGAGGCCGCTTGATTACAGAGCTGTTAGGGCCATCGCCAACAGCATGGGCACAAGGCTGAAGAGAATCAGGCAGAAATTAGGTCAAGTGATTGACTTGGACATTGAAGAACATCCTACATCTTTGTCTTAAAAACGTCTTGGGTTGCTTTATAAGTATGCTTCAGGTCATTGTGCATCTGCACTGTGAAGTATTGGTCCATGGCTTTGAAACATTTGGCCCTGTACAATACAGAATTCATCCTGCTTCAGACTTGCCCCTGCCATAAGATTACCTCCACCCTGGTTCACAGATAAGGTGGTATGCTTTGGATCGTAAGCAGTTCCTTTGTTTCTCAAAACTCTCCTCTTCCCATGTTTCTGGTACAAGTAGATCTTTGTTTCATCTGTTCATCAGATGTTGGTCCAGATCTGTACAGGCTTTTTTTTTAAAAGTTATTTTTTCCTCAACATTCTCAGCAATGTTCTGCTGAGAAACCTTGGGTCCTGTTCAAGGAGTTCAAGGTGTTGACTTGGCCTCCAAATTCCCCAGATCTCGATCCGATCGAGCATCTGTGGGATGTTTTAATGTCGGTTACAGTTACCGCTGGATTATATATGAATGTGGACACTGGTTTAAATTTGATTTGATCAAAAAAGTACTTAAAGTAATGAATTAGAGTAATACTCATGCTGCCTAATATCCTAATTCTAATAACAGCATTAACATTAATCACAAGATTTTACATACACCTTAAAACACACACCACATAAAGCAAGTGGTAGAATTAAGATGGTTCCTACATCCAATGTGCACACAGTTCAGAAATGTATAAAAACAAAATTGAAGTTCTCTAGTGATACAATAAAAATTAAATAAAACAACTGATGTGTGCTTGATCTCTAAGCTACTTTAATGTCAAGTAGCAGTCAGATAAATGGGTAGCAATAAACCCATTAACAAATGCAAGTTGCATTATAGTTCAGAATGAGGAAAGAACAAACTGATTCTGACATCAGTACACTTGTAATAGAAAAAAAGATCATCATACCAGTGGACTATTTAATCCAATTGAAACTTCTTATTCCTTGTAGACTATAGATATAACATAATTGTTTACTTCTCCACACTACTCTACCCAGTTTGCATACATTTCTTCATCCTCATAGTCACTGTCCACTTCACATTCCACTTCACATTCATGAACCCCAACGTTAACATAGTTGTTATCCGAGTCATCTGAATCGTCCTTCTGGTGGAAAATGGTTTCTACATTTTCATAACCATGTTCGCTGTCCTTATCGGTCTCTCCTTGGGGATATTTACGTGTGTTTTTAGCACCTATAAAATAATTGGGACAAAATACACACAAGTTTTGAGGTTATTTGCATATCAAGGTTCAGCAAGAATTAAATATGTAAGTTAAAAAGCGCTCCATGTTGTCCTGTTATAGTAAAATAATCAATAATGAGGTGGTATGATGAAGTGGAGTCACTGTTACTACTCTGAAGTTAAATTAGTGCTTTAATAACATATACCAGAATTATTCATTAAAAAAAAAAATTAAATGTATTTTAGAGTGACACTTCATACATTTAATTTGATTATAGTAACATTTATGTATTTCAAATGTTATAGTATAATGGGGTTAGTGGTAGTTCAGTGGTTAAAACGTTGGACTACTGATTGGAAGGTCATGTGTTCAAATCCTAGCACTACCAAGCTGCCACTGCTGGGCCCGTGAGCAAGACAGTTGTATAAATTAGAGAAATGTAAGTCGCTCTGGATAAGAATGTAAAAGTCGTTAAAGTCTTTAAACCTTTGAATAACTTACCCAACTCACGCTGTGTTTCCTTCTTCTTATCCATCTGAGATGTTTGTCTTTTCTGTGTCTTTACAAAGCAAATGATGACTAGAACTAACATGAAGAGCAGTCCTGCTGTCACTCCGACACCAATGTAGGGAGCAAGAGATGCTGGGAGAGAAATCATCATCATTATCATCATCAAGATTTTTACTCTCTGAACTGCAGAACACAAAAGGCAGAATGAGTTCATTTACCTTTCACGGTGATTTCCAGCAGCTCAGTGGTAGTGGAGGTAAAAGTGTGTGAAGACACGTTGACTTCATAAGTACAGCTGTAGTTTCCCTGATGTACAAAATCTACCTCAAGAAAATGGAAGACGGCTGAGTGGTTAACAGCCAACTGAGTCCTAGTGAAGTTGGATTCAATGATCTTCAAGTGAAAGGAACCTCCTGGATACTCAGGTTCAGTGGAGCAGATGATGGAGAAGCCGTAGCCCCTTGTCACTTCTGTTCCAGCAGACTCCCAGTGGAACCATCTATCAGTAGCACTGAAGAAGATACTGGGCTGCTGCAAGTTCACTAGAAAACAACACGGATTGTCAGGAACTTCAAATTGCACTTACCAAAAACCAACCATTCATCCAACTTCACAAGCTAAAAATCTCTTCTGCGTTTGTAAAAGACCCTGACAGCTCATAATCTTTTGACATAGTATACAGCTGTGAGAGTCTTACTGTATAATTGCACTATGCAGTGTCACCCAGAAGGTTATGGGTTCCATTTTGAATCTGGTTAAATATAATCAGTGGGACACACATGGCACCCAAATCATGGAACCACCCTACTAAAAGTTGTCATGTTTACTAACCAATAAAATTTACATACAATGCAAAATCATCACATAGATATCAGGGCCATAGGATAAAGTCCTTTTTTTTGTACCTGAGCAAGTAACACCAGCATCTTCAGTATGGTCACAGTCGTGTTCTCCAAATCCATTATGAGAGCACCGAGTGATGTCGCTTTCATTTCCAGAACACTGAACATCATCCAGCCATATTGGGCCCATTCGAAAATCAGAGAAGGCATTCTGATTGGCACTGAGGGCTTTACCACAGCCGAGCTGTCTACACACCACCTCTGCATCATTCATGTCCCAGTCATCATCACACACTGTTCCCCACTGGCTATTGTACAGGATCTCCACTCTACCAGAGCAGGAGTCAGTGCCACCTGCAAGTCGTATGTTACCTTACAAGACAAACAGAAAAACACTAATTAATATGAATGAATGATAATTAATCTTGTTACAACGCTGACAAACACCTGGAGTAGTGATTCCATTTCTGCCATTACTATTTTTTATTTTTTCTGAAAAATGTGTGTCAGGTCTTTGATATAAATCAACAATGAGCTTTACATAATGATAATAAAGTGAAGACGAGCAAGTGAAAGCGCCACAAGTGACTTCCATCTCATGTGAGGCGACGGAGACAGGAGATGTACATGATGCTGATAATAAAAGTGATCTTTAGCATTTCCTACTCTAAAATTAGAAAGAAAAAAAACACACAAAAAACTTTAATATTATAAAATAGTTTTTTTTTTCTTCCATAAGTAATTATAAATTTCAAGGTGAGCAGAGTGGCTTTCTGTGGAACTGGAATGAAATCTTTGAATGTCATTTTGTCCTTTTTCACCTGTCGGGGTAAGCAGACTTTAAAATGCTACAACTTGGGTAACCAGTTTATAAAATTAAAGTAAAAGCATAGGATTATTATTAGAAAAGAAAACCTTAAGAATTTTGAGGGTCAGTGTTTGTGTGTGTGTGTGTGTGTGTGTGTGTATGTGTGTGTGTGTGTGTGTGTGATATTTTCAACCTTAAATGGGAAAGAATAGTTTTAATTCTTGCTGTTGATATTGCATGGAGAGTGAAGGGACAGGACTCCTTGGATCTCAGGTGAAAATAAAAACCTCATTCAAAAGTTCATAAAAGAAAACTTGTCCTGGGCAAATGCCAGGAAAATGGTTTTGGCAGCAGACTGGGTATCATTTTTATTGTTACGTATTAGGTATTTTAAGATATAGTTGTACCACTCATGTCAGTTAAGCCAGAAGTAAATTTGATCACATCATCAAAAAAAAAATCAAAAAAAAAATCATACAATGCAAAATCATCACATAGATAACAGGACCATAATAAAAGTACTTTTTTTTTTGTACCTGAGCAAGTAACACCAGCATCTTCAGTATGGTCACAGTCGTGTTCTCCAAATCCATTATGAGAGCACTGTGTGATGTTGCTTTCACTTCCAGAACACTGAACATCATCCAGCCATATTGGGCCATCGTCCAAATCAAAGTGGGCACTTTGATTGGCACTGAGGGCTTTACCACATCCAAGCTGTCTACACACCACCTCTGCATCATTCATGTCCCAGTCATCATCACACACTGTTCCCCACTGGCTATTGTACAGGATCTCCACTCTGCCAGAGCAGGAGTCAGTGCCCCCTGTAAGTCGTAAGTTACCTTACAAGAGTAAAAGAGAAATAGATTGTGTTGTCAGTAAAGTTTGATGAATATTTGAACACGGTGGCTTAGTGGTTAGAATGTTTGCCTTGCACCCTGCACTGCACCCTGTGTGTGTGGAGTTTGCATGTTCACACCGTGATTTGGGGGTTTCCTCCAGGTACTCCGCTTTCCTCCCCCAGTCTAAAGACATGTGCTGTAGACTGATTGGCATTTCCAAACTGTCTATAGTGTATGAATGGGTGTGCGATTATGCCCTGTGATGGGTTGACGCCTGGTCCACAGTGACCCTGTGTAGGATAAGCCCTATGAAAAATGGATGGATGGATGGATGGATGGAGTAGCTGAATGAAAAATGCCAAATTCTGACCTGTGTGAACCCAGAAAGCCATCAGTAATGATGACTGGCTCCTTTTTTCTTCTCATATCATACCCATGAGTGTGCATTGCTGACAAGGTCATAATATGAAAGCGTGTTTCTGTACCTGAGCAAGTAACACCAGCATCTTCAGTATGGACACAGTTGTGTTCTCCAAATCCATTATGAGAGCACTGTGTGATGTTGCTTTCACTTCCAGAACACTGAACATCATCCAGCCATATTGGGTCATCTTTCAAGTCAAAGTGGGCAATTTGATTGACACTGATGGCTTTACCACATCCAAGCTGTCTACACACCACCTCTGCATCATTCATGTCCCAGTCATCATCACACACTGTTCCCCACTGGCTATTGTACAGGATCTCCACTCTGCCAGAGCAGGTGTTATTACCATCAGCGAGTCGCATATTAGTGCCATCTAAGACAAACAGCAAAATGAATGCTAGTATTAATGAATGATTGTGAATTTCATTCCAATATTTCCACTTGGACTAATATGATTACATTTCTGCATTGCTGTTTATTTCTCAAAAATGATGTCAGGACTTTTATATAATCAATAGTAAACATTACATGATTTGCATTGGGTAATTACTCTTATAGTCAAACACCATTTTATTAAAAACCTACACCCTCCTCCTCTTGGAGTTATACTTCTATGAAAGCCACTCCTCAAAGAGCCAGAGGAAAAAATGAGTAGGAAAATAAAGTTTAAGAATAAAATAAATTAATGAAAAAAAGAAAAGAAAAAAAAAATCAACATGATTAACAAAATAAGTCACAAAACAGGAAACAATATATCAAAGAAAATTTTAGAAAAACTAAATGAAAAAGAAAACAAACAAACAAACAAACAAACAAAAAACACAAAGCAGGTAACAACATATGGGAGAAAAAAATTAAAAGAACAACAACAACAACAAACAAGTATTCAAATTAAAAATGTACTTACCAGCCAGCAAGAAAGCACTAAATATTCTGGCTAAGGAGAGAAAATGAAGAGAAGGAATATAATTGAACCAAAATGAAAATGAAAACCCCAAACTGTATTTTGTCTAATAAATTAACGTAAACTGAATTAAAAATAAAACATGAGCTCATCAGAGTATATTAGTATTATATTAGTCACAGCTTAAAAAATTTTTTTGTTTGTTTGTGTGGTTTATGAGATGTTGTTGGGCCGGAAATGTTTCTGAAACCTGTTAACCCCGTTTAATCAAATCAAGTCAAGTGAGCTTTGTTGTCATTTCTGCATATCCCGTGTATACACTGGAATTAAATAACACAACAGTGTAGTAGGACAGGACATAAGACCACATACAAATACAGAACAGTGTGAGATGAGAGCAGGACAGCAAATTCACAGGACAGTGCATGTTACATTGCATGATTCTGACAGCCTCGGAGAACAATCTCTGCCAGGTGGCAGGAATGTCAAGTGTCCATTAGGGGTGGAAAGGGTTGTCCACAGTGCTGTTAACCCTCGATGGTGGTTAGAGAGAGTCTTCAGCTGTTAAATTATTCTGGAAATTGTGCAGCTCCTGCACTAAACGCTGAAAAAGCTGGGTAGGATGCTCTCTATTGTCCCTCTGTAGAAGGTGGTGAAGACAGGAGTGGGAACATTGGCTCTCATTGATTTTGCGATCACAGAAGTTAACGCAAAATCGAGCAAACTCATTTTTCAAAATGATCCTAGATTTTCCACAGATTTGGGCCAAGATGAGTCATGTGACATCATCACAACGTGCATTCATCCAAAGCCCTCTTCAATTCACATGCATCATATGTAAGTGCAGCTAAAAAGGTCTCATTTACCATCAACCATCACTGTGAAAGACCATGCAAAATTTTTTGTATGATTTCAATTTTGCCAATTTCTTTTAATTTGAGTTGTTTTTTTTTTGCAAAAAAGCACCAAAAAAAAAACTCTGTGAAATCTTGGAAAAAGCTTTGTGATGTGCACATCAAGAAACATGGAGTTTCTGACTTTCTCCATAGTTG